AACACTTTATTTAATTCTTTTGACAGGTATTGTAGTTGGCATATATTAATGAAGTTTTCTGAGAAAATTAATGCAGTGAAGTATAGTATTTATAAAAATGAGTTCTCGGCTTGTATTTGGAAATCAGAGACTCCTGAAGAATTTGACACACAATGGGAAAGTTTGATTAAGAAAAGTGGGTTAGAAGGAAACAGGTGGTTGCAAGACCAATATGAACTTCGGTCAAGATGGATTCCTGCATATGTTAATCATATTTTCTCAACAGACATGTCAAGTAGCCAACGAGCAGAAAGTGGACATGCATTCTTCAAGAAATTTGTTTCGAAGAATAATTCATTGGTGGATTTTATGATACAGTTTGGCAGGGGACTAGTGCGCCAACGTCACGAGGAGTTGATGGCCGATCACAAAGACTTGATTGAGAAACCTAAACTTAGAATAAATCATGACTTTTTGGAGCAAATGGTTGATATTTACACTAATGAGATGTATTTCAAGTTTGAGGCTGAAGTGTGTGACAGCTTTAACTACAAGTTACAGTTTGTTAGGGAAACCGACAATCGCCGTGTGTATCAAATTCAAAGAAAGAAGCTCGCAACAAGCAAAGTCCGCGAAATCGTTTATGACAAGGACTTGGATTTGGTTTCTTGTAGTTGTAAAAAGTCCGAAAGCGCTGGAATTCCATGTACGCACATTATATCATATTTGATGAAAATTGATGCTGAAATATTGCCCGATAAATACATCTTAAAGAGGTGGACTAAGTCCGCAAAAATGGGGACAGTGTATGATGATAAAGGCATGCAGATAAGCCCTGACAATTCTTATCTTTTAACGCGGAGTCAATTTATCCAATCATCTTTGGAACTAGTTGACAAGTCCCTTGTATGTGAAGAAACGAGGAAGATGTTTACCGATGGAGTGCGTATCATTAATGAGCAAATCGACCAATTTCTTAGTAGCCACATGGTTAGTGGCCGCACGGTTGCAAAGAGCTTCACCGAGAAAACAAAAAAACCCCAAATCGTCCCAAATCCCTTCCGACGAGACAACAGCGACGCCGATCGGTCAAGACCTCGACGTCGAATCAAGCATCGGCGATCGTCAGCTCCTCCTCCCCGTCCTCGCCGTCGGCGAACGTCAGCAATTTTTCTCCTTGATCTCCGCGAGCCAACTTGTAAGCAGTTTCTTCCTTTAATTGATATTTAACTACACAAAGAATGCTTAGAAACTGAATCATCGCATGATTTTGCTCCTCGATCTGGTTATTTTCTCGTATGCTGGTTATTTTCTCGTATGTCTTGTGCCTGGGAAATTTGTATTTTGTGCTCAGTATCAGTCTTGTACTCACCAGATTTTCTCGTCGATCTGCTTAGAAACTGAATCATCGCATGATTTTGCCCTTTCCTTGCGTACAGTTAGATCTGTCCAAATACAGAGCCCATAATGCTTTCAGACCTGGCTACTTGTGTTAAAAGTATTGAGAAATGCAAACTGGCCGATCACATTGAAACTTAACACTATGGCTTATGGTCTAAATGCTTTCAAATGATTTCATTTATTTCTTACAGTGATAGGATCATTTGTAAATTCCCCCCCATACACCTGTATCTTCTATTATGAAAACTATTTTATTGCTAGGGGCACCTTGATTATTAAACCTGTTAGTATGCAATACTTGCTGCATCTTAATCTTTATATATTTTTAACATGGTTAATTACAGAATGGATAACTTGGGCACTGAAGCTAATGAAGTAAACTGGGACGACGATGATTTGATATATACTCCTCAAGTTTCAGATGAGTTGAGGCCAAAAAAAGGGCAAGAATTTGACACAATAGATGATATTTTGACATTCTATAATGCTTATGCTAAAGCAGCTGGGTTTAGTGTAAGGTCTTGGAGTACTCAGAAAGAGCCGGGAAGTAGTGAAATAAGAAGGAAGGAGTATGTTTGTTTTAAACAAGGAAAATCTTTAAAAATCGCGGATGTTGGAAAGAAAAGACGTTGGGGAAACTTAGCTGAGGATTGTACTGCCAAAATTGCTGTTTTGAAATCAAACTCCGGAAAATACATTGTTTCTGTTTTTAATGAGGAGCATAGTCACCCACTATCAACACCATCAAAGGTTCATCTTTTAAGATCTCATCGTAACGTTTCAGCCACAACAAAGTCTCTAAGTAAACAGTTATCCATGGTGAATATACCTCAGCATCAACAATTCAGTTTTCTTGGAGTACAATCAGGAGGTATAGAAAATATAGGGTGCACTCAAAGAGATTTGTATAATCATGAAAGGGATATACGGGCTGATTTGAAGGGGCATGATGGTGAAATGTTTTATGAATATTTAAAATTAGAACAAGGAAAGAATCCCGCATTTACTTTTCAAATTGAGGCCGATGAGGAACAAAAGATTACTCGTTGTTTTTGGTCCGATGCAAGATCAAGGCGGGCTTACAAATTTTTCGGTGATGTTGTAATCTTTGATACTACTTACAACACTAATCGCTATGGCCTTATATTTGCACCAATAATGGGGGTTAACAATCATGGTCAAACAATTGTTTTTGCTTGTGGATTTTTGAATCATGAGAGCGTTGATGATTTTGTGTGGTTATTTAATCAATTTTTGGAAAGTATGCCTGGCGGTACCCCGAAGATGATTATTACCGATCAAGACCCAGCGATGACTAAGGCATTCCCTCTTGTTCTTCCAAATACTTTTCACAGGTATTATAGTTTGTGTATATTATTAAAAATATTTATATGCATAGTCTTTCTTTTTAACACTTTATTTAATTCTTTTGACAGGTATTGTAGTTGGCATATATTAATGAAGTTTTCTGAGAAAATTGATGCAGTGAAGTATAGTATTTATAAAAGTGAGTTCTCGGCTTGCATTTGGAAATCAGAGACTCCTGAAGAATTTGACACACAATGGAAAAGTCTGATTAGGAAAAGTGGGTTAGAAGGAAACAGGTGGTTGCAAGACCAATATGAACTTCGGTCAAGATGGATTCCTACATATGTTAATCACATTTTCTCAGCAGACATGTCAAGTAGCCAACGAGCAGAAAGTGGACATGCATTCTTCAAGAAATTTGTTTCGAAGAATAATTCATTGGTGGATTTTATGATACAGTTTGGCAGGGGACTAGTGCGCCAACGTCACGAGGAGTTGATGGCCGATCACAAAGACTTGATTGAGAAACCTAAACTTAGAATAAATCATGACTTTTTGGAGCAAATGGTTGATATTTACACTAATGAGATGTATTACAAGTTTGAGGTTGAAGTGTGTGACAGCTTTAACTACAAGTTGCAGTTTGTTAGGGAAACCGACAATCGCCGTGTGTATCAAATTCAAAGAAAGAAGCTCGCAACAAGCAAAGTCCGCGAAATCGTTTATGACAAGGACTTGGATTTGGTTTCTTATAGTTGTAAAAAGTTCGAAAGAGCCGGAATCCCGTGTACGCACATTATCTCATATTTGATAAAATTTGATGCTGAAATATTGCCTGACAAATACATCTTAAAGACGTGGACTAAGTCTGCAAAATCAGGGACAGTGGATGATGATAAAGGCATTCAGATAGAGTCAATTTATCCAATCATCTTTGGAATTAGTTGACAAGTCCCTTGTATGTGAAGAAACGAGGAAGATGTTTACTGATGGAGTGCGTATCATTAATGAGCAAATTGACCAATTCATTAGTAGCCACATGGTTAGTGGCCGCACGGTTGCAAAGAGCTTCACCAAGAAAAATAATCAAATGAGTAGTAATTTAATGGATGATGGTACTAGTGTGCAGGATTCTTGTACTTTTCAAAATAGTTTCAATGAACCCGATCAAGTGCGAGCAAAAGGGTGCGGCAAAAGGTTGAAGGGAGGAAAAGAGAAAGCAATGGCTAGAGCAAAAAATAAAAAAGATAGACGTTGTCACGGGTGTGGTAAAGTAGGCCAATCACATGATAAGCGAAATTGTCCGGCACTCACAAATCCGTAAGTAGAAATTCCTTTATTATTTAAGCATTTCTTATTCTTCACCTTCTAATATTCCCTTGGTGTATACATATATATTTTCATTATAATGTAGGTCTTCTACATGCGGTGATACAAATTGGCAAGAGGGTAATGGGTCATCAAGTGAAGATGGGGATGATGTGCTCATATGAAGACGGTCTTCATCTGAATCTCGTTTTAATGTATGTTATCTTATTGGAGCTAATGCTGATAATCTGATTAATTTTTATGCTCTTTCTGAAGATGGGGTTGGCATTTCGCATGTTAAGGGGGTATTCTGTGAAATTTTCCCTTATTTTCTGTTATTCCTCATTAGCAAAAAACCTCTCTTATATCAATGTTTTGGTTAAAGCAATACCTAGCGAATTTTATAGTTTTTAAACCATTTTTCTAGCTCTCAATCTGCCTATATGAAGGCTTATTCACAAGTATGATCTGATATGGTGAGAGAAATGGTTATAGTAAATACTGATCCGGTTAACAAATAAGCCAAATCTGACAAGCCAGCAGTCTTTTGAGTGCTTAATTTGTATTAGTTTTCCTGTTTGAGCTAATGTATTGACTTTGTATGTTGTCATTCTCAGGAACATGGAGGACACAGAAATTCGGATTTGAAGTTGACAAAATCTTTGTGCTGTTGTGTTTTGTATGTTGTAAAGGACAAGTTATCTTTTGCAGTTGTGTTTTGAAGTTGTGTTTTGTATGTTGTAAAGGACAAGTTATCTTGTGCAGTTGTGTTTTGAAGTTGTGTTTTGTATGTTGTAAGATGCAGTTTTAAGAGAGACAATTTTCTTCAATTGTAGGGCACGAAGATCAGAAAATTAATGCACAGTTATCTTATCCAAGGTAGAAAAATATAAAGTCGTGTCCTTCAGCTTTGAGATCTTAATGAATATGTCATGTTGATAATTTGATCTCACATTCCAAAGAATACAATTGCTTCTCAGCTAGAATACAATTGCTTAAATTTACATCAGTTACATTTGACATATTGAGGTAAATAAATAGGACCTGGCATTTACCTAACCAAGTTTCTTCTCAACTAGAAGAATTACAGCAAGTCTGGATATATTATCAGCAACATCAACAAGAAGAGAGTCAATTCCTGATTGGATTGTATTGGTCATAAGTACGCACAAGTCATACGTGATTGGATTGCAGTCGCCAGCTTGAATTGGTTTTGATGCAAACAAAGAACTAAAGTCAAAAAACAAGAAAACTTGATGATATAGCTTTGATGATTTTACGTAAAAATAATCAGTTTATCACAATGCTATGATCTTATGAAGCTATCTCATATACACCAACACAAGGCCAGGATGTGGATCTGTTGAGTGTTAGTTTCCAGACAATTTATCTCTTTTCTTTCACCAACATCGCACATGTCCATACATTAGTTCAGAAGGGACTTAGCAACTTAGCAAATTTTGAACAAATTTTGAAAACAGACCCATCAAATACCTGTTACAAAAATATTATGTCACATCTTAGCAAGATAGGATATTCGAACAAATTTTGAAAACAGACCCATCAAATACCTGTTACAAAAATATTCTTAAAAGATGACATGTTCTGAAAATATATGTTCTGCTTAAATATGTTCTGAAAAATGACAAGTCCAAAATATAAGATGCATAAATATTACATCACATAACTTACAAATCCCATCACATACCCTTTACAATGGAAAAGCTAACAAATATTGCAACGATACATGCTACAAACACAATTATTGTAAACATTGAACCTAATGCAAAAATATAGATCGGGGAAATAACAATTTCCCTAAATTTTTCCTTGTCCTTATGTTTATTATGCATATCCGGAAATATTTGTTGTTGAAATTGAAGTGGTGTCTGGACAGGCCTTGAGCTGGACGCTGAATCACGATCGATGGTGTGCTTCTCCCATTCTCTCAAAGCCTCTTCGTACGTTGCAAACCCTTTGTACGAGGCATTTGGAAATTTATCAACAGCGAATTTACATTCCTCCCAATTATCAAAAATGCCACATTGTCTACCTCTTAACACAATATAAAAACGCTTTCTTGCCATGGATAACCTGCGTCAAATAGAGCTTCAACGAGAGTAGAACCTAATGCAGAATTAACCTACCATATCAGTGCAAGCCCAGTTGTTATTGTTAGTCTCTGCCTCATAAGACATTTTTGTGACATGCCGACTGTCAAGATTCTTATAAGGTTATTGAGCTTCTCTATTATTGAACACAATTGTCAACAACTTGAAAACTGGGAATAAACTGAAGCTTAAATATGTGTTTGTGGTGAAAAAATCGACATAAACACAAAATTTAAAGAAAATTATGTGGCTTGAAGAAACCAGAGAGCAGAGAGTGCTTTGACACTAGAGGCCTCTATCAAAATATCTAATTGTACTTCATAATCTCTTAATCCCTAATTGACACTAGAGGCCTGTATCAAAATTATGGGACTAGAAGAAACCAGCGATTTGTGTGATTTGTGTGAAATTGCTTTTGTACTTAAATCCCTAATTGTACTTAGTAATCTCTTAATCAAAATATCTCAAAGAATAATCAGAATAACTAGATCTAAGCAAAATCATGCGATGATTCAGATCTACGAGGAGAAAATAACCAGATCGACGAGCAAAATCATGCGATGATTGGATATCTAAGCATTCTTTGTGTAGTTAAATATCAATTAAAGGAAGAAACTGCTTACAAGTTGGCTCGCGGAGATCAAGGAGCAAAATTGCTGACGTTCGCCGACGGCGAGGACGCAGAGGAGGAGCTGACGATCGCTGATGCTTGATTCGACGTCGAGGTCTTGACCGATCGGCGTCGCTGTTGTCTCGTCGGAAGGGATTTGGGACGATTTGGGGAATTTTTTGGTGAGGAAGGGTTTGGGAACGAATTAGGGGTTTTTTTGTGAGGAGTTTGGGATTTTTGAAACAAAAATGATCTCTGCTCGAGCCTGAGCAATTTTGTCGTTGATCATTTTCCAAAAAACCCCTGGAACGGAGCTCGAGACGAGACAGAGCAGAATGCGGGCCTTTTTTCAAAAATCCCCCTGCTACGCTGATCGAGCCGAGATCACGTGGATGCGGACGAATTTAACAAAAAAACCCTCGCTTTCCCACCAACCCAGCAGATGCGTACGCATCAGTCCGCACCAGAAACTTTCTGTATATATATATATATATATATATATATATATATATATATATACACACACACATATTATACATATATATATAAGAGAGTGTATACA